ACAGGAGGAAACAGTCCGGTACATATCAATCTACAGATACAGGAGGAAACATACAGATACAGGAGGAAACAGTCAGGTATATGTCAATCTAGATACAGCAGGAAACAGTCCGGTACATGTCAATCTAGACACAGCAGGAAACAGTCTGGTACATGTCAATCTAGATACAAGAGGAAACAGTCAGGTATATGTCAATCTAGATACAGGAGGAAATAGTCACTGTCAGGTATATGTCAATCTAGATACAGGAGGAAACAGTCTGGAACATGTCAATCTAGATACAGGAGGAAACAGTCAGGCATATGTCAATCTAGATACAGGAGGAAAGAGTCACTGTCAGGTATATGTCAATCTAGATACAGAAGGAAACAGTCAGGTACACATCAATCTAGATACAGGAGGAAACAGTCTGGAACATGTCAATCTAGATACAGGAGGAAACAGTCCGGTACATGTCAATCTAGACACAGCAGGAAGCAGTCTGGTACATGTCAATCTAGATACAGGAGGAAACAGTCCGGTACATGTCAATCTAGACACAGCAGGAAGCAGTCTGGTACATGTCAATCTAGATACAGGAGGAAACAGTCAGGGATATGTCAATCTAGATACAGGAGGAAAGAGTCACTGTCAGGTATATGTCAATCTAGATACAGCAGGAAACAGTCCGGTACATGTCAATCTAGACACAGCAGGAAGCAGTCTGGTACATGTCAATCTAGATACAGGAGGAAACAGTCCGGTACATGTCAATCTAGACACAGCAGGAAAAAGTCTGGTACATGTCAATCTAGATACAGGAGGAAACAGTCCGGTACATGTCAATCTAGACACAGCAGGAAAAAGTCTGGTACATGTCAATCTAGATACAAGAGGAAACAGTCAGGTATATGTCAATCTACAGAAACAGGAGGAAACAGTCAGGTATATGTCAATGTACAGATACAGGAGGAAACAGTCAGGTATATTGCAATCTACAGATACAGGAGGAAACAGCCAGGGATATGCCAATCTAGATACAGGAGGAAACAGTCAGGTATATGTCAATCTAGATACAGAAGGAAACAGTCAGGTATATGTTAATCTACAGATACAGGAGGAAACAGCCAGGTATATGTTAATCTACAGATACAGGAGGAAACAGCCAGGTATATGTCAATCTAGATACAGAAGGAAACAGTCAGGTACACATCAATATAGATACAGGAGGAAACAGTCAGAAAACAGACATGCACATTACTGATGCACATCCGGAATAAACAGTCCTGTAAATCGTCAGCTCAAAGATACAAGAGGAAACAGTCTGTCTACAGATACAGTAGGAAACAGTCTAGTAAATCGTCCTTCTACCGATACAGGATGAAACAGTCTGGTAAACTGTCTGTCCACAGATACAGGTTGAAATAGTCTGGTAAATCGTCCGTCTACAGATACAGGAGGAAACAGTCTGGTAAACCGTCCGTCTACAGATACAGGAGGAAACTGTCTGGTAAATTGTCCTTCTACAGATACAGGATGAAACAGTCTGGTTAATCGTCCGTCTACAGATTCAGTAGGAAACAGTCTGGTTAATCGTCCATCTACCAGATACAGGAGGAAACAGTCTGGTAAATTGTCCTTCTACAGATACAGGATGAAACAGTCTGGTTAATCGTCCGTCTACCAGATACAGGAGGAAACAGTCCGTCTACAGATACAGGAGGAAACAGTCCTGTACATTGTAGTCCTATGGTTTTTAACTGTTTAATTTTTAAAATACACAGAAAACCTTGAAGTAAAAAAGTGGAATATGGACATGTTTCATCAATTCCTTTTTTGGCAATTTTCAGGACATCAATACATCAAATGATACAGACACGAGACCTTGATCACAGTGAAGTGCAAATATTGGTGTGCTTCAAAGTGTTTCCTATAGAGGCGACTATATTTCTTCTCTAATGACATTGACATCAGTCAAGTTTTTAATCAAAAAAGTATTCCAAGTTTAAGTGACTTTCACTTGTACATGTCCCTAAAATTATCCTTTCCTTTAAATGCCACTATTGTTGGTGCATGTCATTATACTAAACTACAGTAGTTGGATTGTAGCTGTCTACAGATTGTTACATTTGACTATATAGTACAGGTAATTTCTGTCTTTTGTCTATTCCGTCTTATCATATTGCAGAGTGATCTTCTCTTGGGAGCAGGTATTGATTGTTAGATCACTTGTTTGTGAGAGTAACGTCATCAATTTTTGAGAAAACGACGTAATTTTCTCACACAAACCAATGACGTAACAATCACTACCTGCTCCCAAGAGAAGATAACTCTGCAATACGCAAAGACGGAATAGATCATTGTACATGACCATACATTACAAGTAGTTTTGATTCCCCCTGTACAGTAACCTCTATACTTGACAAAGGACTGCAAATAGTTTTGATGATATAAAATATGTTCCGGGTTAGTTTAATGTTAGACTCTATCAACTAGAGGTCAATTTGTACATCAAATATTTTAAGTTATACCTCATGATCAACTGCTGGTATTTTGAACACTTGCACAAATTACATAAGCAAAAGAGAGAGAAAAGGAAAAAACATAAATACAAAGACCAATATTTTACATGATTTTGTATTCTAACCTGCAGAATGTTTCTTCAAAATGATGATTATCATCATCTAACACAACAGCACACAGATAATATCACGTTGCTGCCCAAGTGGCAATGGCTCCAAATATACACAAACACATACACACTCTTAGTAATAATTGGCAATAGTTAATGATACATCTTACAAATTTACAATTGTTTTCAAAAGCGAAAAAAATATTGAAAGCTATATCTGAAACAACTGAACTCAATACAGCCTGTCTGTCAAAAAAGCCTATATATGACAGGACTGTACTCAATACGACCTGTATCTATAGACTTTACTCAATACAGTCTTTATCTGCAAACTATTCAATGCAGCCTGTATACATATACTGTATCCAATACAGCCTGTATATATAGACTATACTCAATACAATCCGTATATGGACTATACTCAATACAGCCTGTATATATAAACCATACTCAATACAGCCTGTGTATATAAACTGTACTCAATACAGCCTGTGTATATAAACCGTACTCAATACAGCTTGTGTATATAAACTGTACTCATTACAGCCTGTGTATATAACAGTACTCAATACAGCCTGTGTATATAAACCGTACTCAATACGGCCTGTGTATATAAACTGTACTCAATACAGCCTGTATATATAAACTGTACTCAATACAGCAGGTGTATATAAACTGTACTCAATGCAGCCTGTGTATATAAACTGTACTCAATACAGCCTGTGTATATAAACTACTCAATACAGCCTGTGTATGTAAACTGTACTCAATACAGCATGTGTATGTAAACTGTACTCAATACAGCCGGTGTATATATAGACCGTACTCAATACAGCCGGTGTATATATAAACTGTACTCAATACAGCCTGTGTATATAAACTGTACTCAATACAGCCGGTGTATATATAGACCGTATTCAATACAGCCGGTGTATATATAAACTGTACTCAATACAGCCTGTGTATATAGACTGTACTCAATACAGCCTGTGTATATAGACCGTACTCAAAACAGCCTGTGTATATAGACCGTACTCAATACAGCCTGGGTATATAGACCGTACTCAATACAGCCTGTGTATACAGACCGTACTCAATACAGCCTGTGTATATAGACAGTACCTCAATACAGCCTGTGTATGTAAACTGTACTCAATGCAGCCTGTGTATATAAACTGTACTCAATACAGCCTGTGTATATATAGACCGTACTCAATACAGCCGGTGTATGTAAACTGTACTCAATACAGCCTGTGTATATAGACTGTACTCAATACAGCCTGTGTATATAGACCGTACTCAAAACAGCCTGTGTATATAGACCGTACTCAATACAGCCTGTGTATACAGACCGTACTCAATACAGCCTGTGTATATAGACAGTACCTCAATACAGCCTGTGTATGTAAACTGTACTCAATACAGCCGGTGTATATATAGTCCGTACTCAATACAGCCGGTGTATATATAAACTGTACTCAATACAGCCTGTGTATGTAAACTGTATTCAATACAGCCTGTGTATATAAACTGTACTCAATACAGCCTTTGTATATAAACTGTACTCAATACAGCCTGTGTATGTAAACTGTATTCAATACAGCCTGTGTATATAAACTGTACTCAATACAGCCTGTATATATAAACTGTACTCAATACAGCCTGTATATATAAACTGTACTCAATACAGCCTGTATATATAAACTGTACTCAATACAGCAGGTGTATATAAACTGTACTCAATGCAGCCTGTGTATATAAACTGTACTCAATACAGCATTTGTATATAAACTGTACTCAATACAGCCTGTGTATATATAGACCGTACTCAATACAGCCGGTGTATATATAAACTGTACCCAATACAGCCTGTGTATATAAACTGTACTCAATACAGCATTTGTATATAAACTGTACTCAATACAGCCTGTGTATATAAACTATAAACCATACTCAATACAGCCTGTGTATATAAACTGTACTCAATACAGCATTTGTATATAAACTGTACTCAATACAGCCTGTGTATATATAGACCGTACTCAATACAGCCGGTGTATGTAAACTGTACTCAATACAGCCTGTGTATGTAAACTGTATTCAATACAGCCTGTGTATATAAACTGTACTCAATACAGCCTTTGTATATAAACTGTACTCAATACAGCCTGTGTATATATAGACCGTACTCAATACAGCCGGTGTATGTAAACTGTACTCAATACAGCCTGTGTATATATAGACCGTACTCAATACAGCCGGTGTATATATAAACTGTACTCAATACAGCCTGTGTATATAAACCATACTCAATACAGCTTGTGTATATAAACTGTACTCAATACAGCCTGTGTATATAAACTATAAACCATACTCAATACAGCCTGTGTATATAAACTGTACTCAATACAGCCGGTGTATATATAGACCGTACTCAATACAGCCTGTGTATGTAAACTGTACTCAATACAGCCTGTGTATATAAACCGTACTCAATACAGCCTGTATATATAGACCGTACTCATTACAGCCTGTGTATATAGACTACTCAATACAGCCTGTGTATATAGACCGTACTCAATACAGCCTGTGTATATAGACCGTACTCAATACAGCTTGTGTATATAAACTGTACTCCAACAGCCTGTGTATATAGACAGTACTCAATACAGCCTTAGTATATAAACCGTACCCAATACAGCCTGTGTATATAAACTACTCAATACAGCCTGTGTATATATACATGTACAGGCTGTACATAATACAGCCTGAATATTCAGACTGTCCTCAATACAGCCAGTGTATAAAAACTGCACAATACAGCCTGTGTATATATACATGTATAGGCTGTACACTATACAGCCTGTATATATAGACTGTACTCAATACAACATTTGCATATATATAGACTATAATCAATACAATCTGTGTATATATAGGCGATACTTAATACAACCTGTGTATACACACTGTAATCGAAGCCTGTGTATGTATAGACTGTATTCAAAGCAGCCTGTATTTATAGATTATGCTCAATACAGCCTGTACCTGTTGTCTGTACACTATACAGCCTATACCTCTAATGTTTTGTTTTAAATACAGATGGTATCTATTATAAAATAACCTGTTCTAAATGCAGCCCGTATCTTTTTTATTATTAAACATTTTCAACTCAATACAGCTTGTTTCTATGGACTGTACTCAACAAAGCCTGTATCTGTTATGACATAGCTTGTAATATTACAGCCTGTATCTTTATACTGCACTCATTACAGCCTGTATCTAGACTGTACTCAGTACAGCCTGTATCTAAACTGTACTCAATACTGTCTGTATCTGCAATGACAAAGCTTATACTCAATATAGTTTATGTAAGGACCATACTGCCTACAGTCTGTATGTTACAATGGTAGCTGTCCTAGTACTCTGTAATCTACCTTTTTTAATGCTTGCACACCCTAACTGATTTAAGTTCACACGTGTCACTGAAGCACTCATCTATTCCCTCATACATTGGCATCAGATTTACCCCTCCAGTTGCCTGACATCGACATATATCACACAAATATACCCAGAGCACTATTGCATCACACATGTAAACACATTTTTACCCCCCAAAAAATTCATATATTACTTGTCTATGTACAAAATACCTATATATACACACACATGTAAAATTTTGTATATATTTTTAAAATTGCAAAATGAAAACTAGATTGACTACATCAATCATTAGATGAGTCACAGTTTATATAGTGATGTATGATAAGTGAAAAATTGAATGGATGAACAATGAATAAACGAAAAATAATATATATGAATAAATGAATTGTAAATGTATGAATGTTCAAGTAATGGGAAAATAACGTGTACTGAATTGCCAGATAACCCATCATTTTCAGACATGCATCAAAAAATACAAAATTCCTGATGGCCAAGACAAAAGGAGGCCCTATAGGCCTATATTGCTCACTTGGCATTCTATCTCTTGATCTTACACAGTTGGTCCCCTGTGACATCAGTATAGAGGTCACGATAGATCACAAGGTCACACTAGTTATCAAGGTCACGCTAATTCATCAAGGCCACACCTGTTTTATCATCGTCACACTAGTCTATTATCATCACTAGTTGATCAAAATCAAACTAGTTATCAAAGTGAAACCAGTTTTGCTTTGTCATGTGATATATTTGAACAAAAATGTTTACTAGATTTTTTAAATGTTACAGAAATTAAAAAAAAACATGAAATAAAGTTGTTTTGTAAATCTTGTCATAAGCTGATCAGAATTATTGGAGATTATCCGTTCTGAAAGAAGCTAGTCAGGTAATAAACAGATCTTATTCCATATCACATTCAGACCTAGCAAGGTAAAATACAGATCTAATTCAACGTCTCATTTGATTTCCGACTTATTTCTTGTCTCAATCGATTTCAAACCAAACCAGGTGATACCGGGTTTGCTTACTGGAATATGCCTCATTCTGACCTAGCCAGGTAATATACAGATCTTATTCTTGGCCTCATTCTGACCTAGCCAGGTAATATACAGATCTTATTCTTGGTCTCATTCTGACCTAGCAAGGTAATATACAGATCTGATTTTAAATCTCATTCAAACTTAGGCAGGTAATGAACAGATCTTATTTGCCTTCTCATTCAGACTTAGCCAGGTAATATAAAGATCTGATTCAATGTCTCATTCAGACCTAGTCAGGTAATACAGATCTGATTCAATGTCTCATTCATACCTAGCCTGGTAATACAGATCTGATTCAATGTCTCATTCAGACCTAGTCAAGTGATATACAGATCTGATTCCATATCCCATTCAGACTTAGCGAGGTAATACAGATCTTATTCCATATCTCATTCAGACCTAGTCAGGTAATACAGATCTTATTCAATGTCTCATTCAGACTGAGCCAGGTGATGTACAGATCTGATTCAATGTCTCATTCAGACCTAGCCAGGTAATATTCAGACCTGATTTTTACCAAGCCAGGTAATACAGATCTTATTTAATGTCTCATTCAGACTGAGCCAGGTGATGTACAGATCTGATTCAATGTCTCATTCAGACATAGCCAGGTAATACAGATCTGATTCAATGTCTCATTCATACCAAGCCAGATAATACAGATCAGATTCCATATCTTATTCATACCAAGCCAGGTTATACAGATCTGATTCAATGTCTCCTTCAAACCTAGCCAGGTAATATTCAGATCTGGTTGTACTCTTAAGTTAAGTTTACCAAAATCTGATATATAATCACAATTAATAAAATGTTTTTTATTAGATACAACACAAAATTCCAATGATTTAATTCAGCCTGGAATTATGTAACTAATTTTGGGCAATGCTTTTAGATTGGAATATCATATTATCGAAGGGACTAATGTCAGTAAATTCCAACACAAGGCATCATTTCCAGAGATTCATAACAAAATAATCATTATTCTTCATATACCAAATAGTATGACCTGAGCCTCCATCCCATGTGGGCCTGACCAACCTCCATCCCATGTGGACCTAACCAATTTCCAAACCATGTGGACCTAACAAACCTCCATCCGATGTAGACCTGACCAACCTCCATCCTGTGTGGACCTAACCAACCTTAATCCCATGTGGACCTGACAAGCTTCTACCTCATGTGGGACTGACAAGCCTTCATTTGATGTGGACCTTACCAACCTCCATCCCATGTGGACCTGACCAACCTCCTTCCCATTTGGACCTAACAAACCTTCGTCCAATGTGGACCTAATCAACATGTGGACCTAACCAACCTCAACCCCATGTCAACCTGACCAACCTCCATCCCATGGTGACCTGACCAACCTCAACCTCACTTGGACTTTTCTAACCTCCATCCTATGTGGTACAACCTCTATATATATAGCGTGACCTCAAACCCTTTTATGCCTGATCAACATGTTCCTTTTTACATTGACTATCATTGTGTCACTGAACAGGCTGACAAAACGAAGGAAAAAGGGGTCAAACCAATCAACCTCTAAAATAAACATGTTTGTGTTAAATTCAAACTAATCCACTCACCCATGGAATCTATCTACATGTTGTAAACATTTGTTCTGTGTAAGAGGATTCATTAGCACAAGTCTGTACAGAAGTTTGAGGTGTCTCCCTTGTGAGGGAGGTCACATGACTGTTAACAATATATGCGAGAGGAATGCGCTCTGATCTTCAGTGACTGTTGACAAACTCTAATAATACATTAATCTGGGATGATATGGAAAATTAATCCAGAATATGTTCATTATACAGAAAATTAATGGTAGTAGTCTAGATGAAAGTCGATATAAGAATAAGCGATCAATAGCCGCACAATATCAAAGATGGCCGACTCACTGATGAATCATGTTGGATGAGGTTGAATTAGAAATACTGTAAACTATGATTATAGCTTTCTGTCTACTACCACACAGTCCTTGGTTTATAAGAAAGCCAATGTAAATTAATGCACAATCCATTTAACACACACTCTCTCAGTTGATCCGGATGGACGCTCCAGTAACATGGATGAGACACAAATGCGTACACCAGGCCGAAATAGAAAACACATGCTATCCACTTGTCCAATGGGGAGAAAAAAAGTGCTACATCAGATTTATTGTTGCTGAAGTCTGTCGGCCATACCTGCCTTACAAACGCATTCCTGTTATACAGTGAATCTTTGTCACATAGAAGCACTGGTTTTATGCTTTACCGGGAATCTGTGTCACACAGAAGCACTGGATTGACGTAATACAGAGAATCTGTGTTACACTGATGCACTTGTTTCATGTTATACAGGGAATCTGTGTCACATAGAAGCACTGATTTAATGTTATACAGAGAATCTGTTTCACACAGAAGCACTGATTTAATGTTATACTCGGAATCTGTGTCACGTAGAAGCACTGTGTTAAATGTTCTAGATTTCTATACATATTTATCACTAGTTAAAATGGGACAAATGACATTATGTAAGTTTTAATTAAAAAAAGGATGTCAGCTCTCTGGTATAGCTCACTGACACATATGTTTCTATAGTTCCTTGTTCATGATAATATCTCTCTAGACAAACATTAGCACTAACTGATCAACAGAGATCACTAAACAAATCACTAAACACAACCAAACGTGACAACTGAGATAAACAAAGTGTTTACCTTGACAAATCCATTAAAGCAAAAAACCTTAAACAACAGAAAACAATAAACTCACTTTTTCCTGCAGCTCTGAACATTCACTGCAGTAGGTTTTGCTGTAGTGAATGGAATATCAAATTCAAAATAGGAAATAAAACCAAGAATAATGCCATCTATCATAAATTCACTTGAATGGTAAAAGAACAACTTTAAACTTCCTAAACTTTAGGCTAAACTTTAGGGTAAACTAAGTATTACCACAAAATAATAGCACACGTCAAATACTTAATCTCCGACAGATAGTCTGACCAGGGGCACATAACTCTTACTTCAAGAGTGAGCCAAGCATTTAGCATTGACTATTGTAATCCAATATTTGATAGATTACAGCCAAGTGTTCAGAATTGACTAATGTAATCTTTCATTTGATTGGTTAAAGCCAAGTATTTGGAACTGACTACTTCCAAGTTATGTGTGATTGGCTACAACCATGATTGAAATAATTGCCATGTAGTAATATCTAGAAAATATGATTTAAATTTGTTTTGTGTAGAGGAATTCTAATCGAATTGAACTGAAGTTTTTTCAATTAACTTTCATAATATTTGTGAATTTTTCTGTGTCAGGCTTTCATACCTGATCAACAGTAGTAAATCTACCTAAAACAGTAGTAAACATCTGAAAGTTTAATTCACATATCATTTATCTGCAACATCTGCCCTAAACTTTGTCCCCCTGATAGTAGCCTCACTTCCTAACCCAGATAGAAACATATGTGCCTGTGAGTTATACAGGAGAGAGCTCACCAGAGGCTGGACAGCTGTTCGTTACATACGTCACAGGACTATAGATTTAGAAAGACATGGAAATAGCATTATTCACCTAGGTTGTAATTCTGGAGGGTAGGGAGTTACGGATAGGGGAAAGGGATAAAGGGTTAAAACACAATCTGCCATCTGTCCATCAGCATTGAGACCTCGGTCAATGAATGTCCGACGACTGAAACACTTTTCCATAGTCTGGATTAATAAATGAGAATCCCCGGAACTCCTCTTGGTTAATGGCCTTGACAACAGATGGATCAACGGGTGTCAACGCTGGCTCTTCAGATGTGAAGTCTTTGTCAAAATTGTTAGCATCTGTCTTTGATTTCTGCAAAACAAAATGAAATTGTAGCAACTTGTGTGTATTTTTCAAACTTTCTAAAATTCATTGAAACTTTACAGTTACTAACATATTTTCAGAAAACTTCAGTGACATCAGACTTTGTCTATTTTTCAGAATAATAAAGTAAATGAAATATGCAGATGAACCTAGCTAGCTCTGGTTTATACAAGTTTCCCGAGAACAGTTTAAACTTGTTTTATTGTAGATTGTTTTACTTAAAATATTGGGTCAGAATGGTGGTATAGACAAATTAGTATTTACAATCTTTGTCTTGGAGATTAAATGTAGTCACACACAGGTATCACTGTACTTACAATCTTGGGTCTGAATGGTGGTTTCACTTTCCTCTGCTCTAACCCTTCCCAGTCAATCTTGTCGAGGAAGAACGGATGAACCAAGATTGCTTTCTCTCCACCTTGAGATCTTACACAGCCAAGTCGCTTGGCAGGATTTTTGGTCATGAACTGATGAAATATCAAAAAAAAAACATTTGTAAGAAAGTAAAAACCAATCTGGATATGAAATCTGAAATTTAAGATAATTATAAAATCAATACGGACTACTTTATAAAAAAACATGATCAACTTTTCATAGTTCAGATTCAAATCTTAAAGGATTATTTTCAAGTTTCTTAATTCTTATCAAAGGATCTATCAATCAATAAACAAATAAGATCTACAGATTTTCAACAAATCATAGCAGTACCAAAAACTGCCTTATTACTACAATAGAACTAGTGTCTTGAGAGACCATTTTTTTTTGTCAATTCGGTATAGAGAACAAGTACAAATTTTTAACTGTTTATTCTTTGTTATCAAAATCCTAATGTAAGCTTGCAGTTTTATTTCCTCAAATATTTAACTAATTTGAGAAAAGTTTATATTTCGTTAGAAGAGAAATGTCACTTAAAACATGTAATCACTTAAAACATGTAATCACTTAAAACATGAAATTGATTTGCAGAATGTTGAACTTATCCGTTGACAGAAATGTTAAAATCTATGCATATTCAAGTTAATATATTCAAACTTTTGTGGAACATTGGTGTTTCATATTAGATATTGTCTAATAAAGCTGGTACCCTACAGAATGGGACCCAAGTATATCATGCTTACTCCTTTGAGAATAGTCACAGCTTCCTTGCTGAGCCAAACTGGATAGAGTACATCATCATGGAGAATGGACTCAAACAGATCCTCTTCGTTATCTGCCTCAAAAGGAGGCTGGCCAGCCATCATCTCATACATGAGGACTCCTAGTGCCCACCAGTCAACAGAGGCATCATACTCCAACTCCTGTAGGATCTAAAGGCAGCAAAACAAACCTCGTCATACAAATAAAAGATGTACAGAAGGGGGACAACTCTGTCATACAAACAGGGATATTAGCACCTACCACCATAGATTCTTCACTAATTCTATTGACTTTTTCTTTTTTTTCTGATCTGTTGGATTGATAGTCATGTAAAAAGTAAATTAATGCACCTTGTGGCAAATTCTGATCTAAAATTTCATGAAGCTTTGTTTGATATTGTCCTTTCAAAATAAGGTTGCCAGAGATTTCTGATTTCTAACAACAATATTTCAAGGAACTTGAAGCACAAAATGAAATATGCAAAACTAAGGAACAAGAAGAACCTCCTTACAAAATTTGAGAATGGTATGATAACAAACTTCAGATGTCACAGCCCATAAGTCTCACAATTGACAAACTTTAACAGTAACAAGAGATCCCAGAGGGATCTTGGCGCCCACCTTTGTACCATCTTCATTAGTTCTTTGTCAGTTCAATCATTTCCCTTCTTTCCTCTAATCTGTTTGATCGAGTCATGTTAACAGTAAATGCACCTTGAGGTAACTTTTGATATAACATAATACTGATGTGTATGAAAGCCAACCTTCAAAGTGAGTTTGTCATTTCACATATTTACTAGTACAGTACTTAATGTGAAAGAAATAGAATCGATCATTGCAATATGTGAAAGATCTGTTTAGTTCTTCTTTTAATCCATTTTGTTTTTATGATCTGCCAGGTTTTGGTGGTGGAGGAAAGCTTGAGTTCCTAGAGAAAAACCACCAACCTACGGCAAGATCCCTTCCTTACTTCCTGAGAAATAGCGATAACAAACTTTCAATATCTAAATCCAAGATGGCTGCGTGTCGGCCATGTTGTTTATCCGATCAGTCTCTCAAATTGCCCTGCACAACTAGGACCAAGGGGAACCTACATATATAATTTAAGAACGATCCCTCTATTTCTTCTGGAGAATTAGCGGTAACAAAACTACACTATCAAAATCCAAGATGGCAGCCTGTCAGCCATGTTGTTTATCTGATCAGTCTCAAAAGTTGCCCTGCACAGATAATGACCAAGGGGAACCTACATATAAAATTTAAAAAAGATCCCTCTGATACTTCTTGAGAAATAGCGATAACAAACTTTCAATATCAAAATCCAAGATGGCTGCCTGTCGGCCATGTTGTTTATCCGATCAGTCTCAAAAGTTGCCCTGCACAGCTAAGGACCAAGGGGATCCTACATATAAAAGTTGAGAAAGATCCCTTTAGTACTTCTTGAGAAATACCGATAACAAGAATTGTTTAAGGACGGACGACGGACGACGGACGACGGACAGACCACGGACCATGGACGCAGGGTGATTTGAATAGCCCACCATCAGATAGATGATGGTGGGCTAAAAATTCAGGATGACTGCCTCGTCAATCCTGATCTTCCTCAAAATGAAGCCTGTACAGCAGAAGACCAATGGGAAGCTACATATGAAATTTGAAAACATCCATCTAATACTTCTTGAGAAATTGTGAGAGTCAAGTTTGTAATTGTCAAAATCCTGACAGACCACAAATGAATGAAACCAAATGAATCATGCACCTAGGTAAACCTACAAATGAAACTTGAGAAATACCTGCCAAGTACTTCTTGAGAAATAGCATTACCATGAGTAATACGAATTGTTTAAGGACGGACAAATGGACAGATTAAGGACGGACAAATGGACAGACCACAATAAGGGGTCCTGGAGCCCGACACATGGACAATCCCTAGACAATCATGGATCCTTATGCAATACATAAATAACCTCCAGAGAATATGTGGTCCTGGGGCCTGACACATATATATTCCCTAGATAATCTGGGGCAAAACATAAATGTTCCCTTAACAATCAGAGGTCCTTAGGCCAAACACATGAATACCTAGATAATCTAGGGTCATAGGGGCTGACCCATAGATAATCTCTACAGAATCAGCCATAGGTAGGAAACTGATGGTAATAGGGACTGACCGATAGATAATCTCTACAGAATCAGCCATAGGGTCATAACTGATGGTAATACGGACTGACCCATAGATAATCTCTACAGAATCAGCCATAGGTAGCAAACTGCTGGTAATAGGGGCTGACCCATAGATAGTCTCTACAAAACCAGCCATAGGGTTTTAACTGACCTCCGGTGCTATATAATCAGGGGTCCCACAGAACGTCTGCGTCAGTTTGGTTTCAAACATGCCTTCTTTACACATTCCAAAGTCAGCTATCTTACAATGACCTTCAGCATCCAGAAGAATGTTATCTAATTTCAGATCTCTGCAAAAAGAAAACCAAAGTGGTAGTGATACTTTTTATTGAAAATAAAATTTTAAAACTGCATGTAGAGCATCTAATATGGTTTCAGTCCAACTTTTATTTACCCAATTCATCAGCATATCTTCAATCATCAAAAATGAATATTCCCAAGTTACACTTATTGACTGACAGTGATGAAGCCAGAAAAACATAGTTCCTATAGCTAAGAAGTAATATTTGAAATAAACTTTTCTTTAAATTTTCAGCACTTTTCTCTAATCAGAAAAAGAGAAATTTCACACACCTATATATAATCCCATGTCGGTGAAGAAACCTCAGGGCAAGGGTTACTTCTGCTGCGTAAAATCGTGCACGAAGTTCATCAAATTTGCGGGATCTTTGAATTTGGAACATTAGATCACCACCATTTACAAATTCCATCACAAAATATAGTCGGTCCTGAAAGTAAACAAAAGGTAGTATTATATACCAGACTTTCTATTTGAAAACTCAGTTCTTTATTGATATGATAGCTAACTATCAACTACACAAAATATGTAATGTGTATCATATTAAGCCCCTAACTCCATCACTGATGAGGTTATAACCATGCAACTTAAATAGAAATAGAAAAGATTCTATGTATTTCTTATCATTTAGCTGAGGCTCTAAATATTCAAGTTTTTAACACTTAAAATAAAGGAACTCAATAAGTTTTAAGTAACAATTCTGGTTCTATCAAAACAGAAACATTTACTCTGGATACAAACACTTTTAAACACTGATAACAAAGAACCGAGTCAGTTTAAAGTACAGTACTGTTTCACCATTACTTAGGTAATTAATTCTCTAAATCACGATGCACAACATGACTGGTACCTTAGTCTGGAAGCATGAGTGAAGTGCTGTGAGGAAAGGATGTTTGGCCGACAATGCTAAGATTCGTTTTTCTGTCATGGTACATTCTACATCATCATCCTGTATAATTACATCCTTTTTAAGGACCTTTACTGCATATACTTCGTCCGTACCTATTTTTTCTGCTAACATTACCTGTAACAGAGCAAATTACAATCGTATGCAAAAATGATCAATTTTATTCCTCACTAAGACACGTGTTTCTGTAAAATACTTTTTCATGAATTGTATTAGGTATCCTTTTTATTTGGTTTGTTTGTGTTTTACGTCCTATTAACCGCTATGGTCATTTAAGGACGTGCCAGGTTTTGGTGGTGGAGGAAAGCTTGAGTTCCTAGAGAAAAACCACCAACCTACGGCCAGTATCTGGCGACTGCCCCACGTAGGTCTCAAACCCGCGACGCAGTGGCGGAGGGCTAGTGGCAGCAGATTGTCAGACGCCTTAACCACTTGGCCACCACGGCATTGTGACAACATTTATTATGGTATTATTGAAAGTTACATAAGAACTTGCACATTTACATTAATCATGTAATTCAGAATCATAGGGTGATGTTCATTGAAAAGTTTTAAAGACACTCACTCAACATTTTCAAAGTATATCGCTATACAATTGGTCTTAATGTGAACAGACAAGAAACCTATAATTATAACAAAGGTCCATATGCTCATATTTTTCACTTGGCTCTTTCAAATATGACAGCTTATATTTTATAAATCATGAAATTTGATTAACATGTTCAATTTTGGATCCATGGAAGCACAAATGTTTTAAATGATCATAAAGGTAACAGTCTTAACACGGGGGATGAGTGCATTTGATGGCAAGATAGTTTTATTTTGTAACCTTTTATCAATATTAATTATGCGACACTCATCTAAGATTTAGTTTTTACATATTTTTTCTGAAATATCTATCACACAATCTCTATGATGAGAGTTAATCATAGAAGAACACATGGTGAACAAATCATTAAACTTTAAACTGTATGACAATTTATTTTGCTCACCTATTTTTACTATCTTTATCCTGCAATTTTTACCATGTTCCAACCAGAATGTGAGTTTTACCTTGTTAAACTTACCTTACCAAAACTCCCTTTTCCTAGAACTTTAATAAAACGAAAATCTGACTGTGAGTACTTGTCAGCTCGTTTGCGCTGTGAGCGGTCTTGTGAGGGACTCCTCCCTCTACTGGACCTGTCATCCGAGAGTTTACCTTGCCCATCAGAGTCTGCAATAGATTGTTATATACATGTAGTGTGCAACAAATCCTACTTAACCAAAGTTTATGAAGCCCAACAGTCCTGGCTACATTGGCACCTTAATGGGACTATTGTACCGTGTAGGATTATCTCCTCTACCTTGCGCTTACAGTCTCCAGAGAGTTGAGGACGAGTTCTTTCAAGGAGGAAGAGTTTGTCACAGGGGTAAACTATTATATAGTTCCTTGTTTCTGACTTGGCTACAGGTAATTTTAATTAAACTCAATAGGCAGAGCACTTGACTTGCAATGTGTAGTCCCAGGTTAGAAGCCTAGAAGAGACACTTGAAAAATCACCTCATTAACATTACTGTATTTTGAAAGCTATGCACCAATATTTAATTTACCTGCTCTAGGATCTTTCACAGGACTTAATCTACAGTATAATGCTGTACCAACATCTTTTTAACTGCTATTTCCATTTGCCTCTAGATTACTTCAATTGAAATGGTTTTCTTGCACTTCCTGATACCCTGTGCTAGATTTTTCTATCTCGTCCGATTTGACTGGCACCTTTCAGTCACATTTCATGGAATTTTTACACATCAATGTATCTATCTGCGTGCTTACCCAAGTGATAACAATCTGCATCATAAACGTTTTGTTTTGTCGTTAAATGAATTGTTTTGATGTTGATAGATTGTCAATATTGTAGATAAAATATAATCTACACTGTGAAATGTTTTCTTCTTTGCAAAAACAGACTACATCATTTGTGAGAAAGCATGTAAACATACTTTAGTAGTGAAAAGGTCATATACACTTGAAGCCCCGGATGGGATATTTGTAGACTATAGCAAAATTGAATACTTTTTCAAACTAAAAGGTGTGAGAAAAAAGTCTATTACCTGTACCTGAGCGATATCGGGTTATCTCAGTCTCAGGCTAAGATTCTGTAACATATCTACCTCGGCTTACGCCTCAGTTGGGATTAAGTAAAAGAATCTTAGCCCTCAACTATTCACAGGTAATAGATTTTATTAGTCTAGACAGACTTCATCCTCCACATTGACTTACCTGGTATCACAGGCAGATTATTCTCTGAAGAGCCCCCTTTATGTGGAGAATCTGGTGCTATTGGTACCTGCAATAACAAAGGAAACACAATGAATCTAGCTTAACCACCAACCAAATTATTAGGCAAAAGATATGTATCATCAACTTATTGCTTCTTATTCAGGGAATGTTTTTGGGTTTTTTTAGCATCAGGCTCCAAAAGTTTGTTTTCAAGATCCCACAAGTTTTTACAGGTTTTTTTCTATGTGGATGAATATAACAGACTTAATTTTTCCGAATTTATTCAACAATATTGTGTTGCTTCAAAAAAGAATGGATTCTATCGTTTAGATTAGAAACTAGAAAACACCTGTAAGTTTGCTTGATAATTTGTCACATGCATTGCTTACCTTTTTGGGTTTCTGATACAGTTTGTCACATGTGATGCTTACCTTTTGGGGTTTCTGAGACAGTTTGTCACATGTGATACCTACCTTTTTGGGTTTCTGAGACATTTTGTCACATGTGATGCCAACCTTTTTGGATTTCTGACACATTTTTTTACATGTGATGCTTACCTTTTTGGGTTTCTGAGACAGTTTGTCACATGTGATGCCCATCTCCTGAAGGATCTGTGCCATGTCTCGTGTGTTGATGCCACAGTTATTTGCCACATTTTTCTGACAACGTTTGTGCACATTCAATTTACAAGCTGTCAAAATACAAGTACAATCATTTAAAAGGAGAGAAATATAAATTCCTTAAAGCAATAATTATTTTCTTCCATCTTTTTAATTGTCCTATTCTATAGATATTTTACGAAACGAAAACTAAATCAACAATGTCTGATGAAGGTGACCGAGTACATATTCTCCTAGTCATTAAAATTTTACACATAAAATAAACATTAAGATTGTGCTATATGAACTTCAATAGGATCAACACTGCCTAGACACTATCACCGATAGTGGTAGATACCAGTGGGGGTAACAGATGGCATGTGCATCAACAGTAAATACTTACCCTCACACTGAAGCCCCTGTCGAAACAGTCCATACAGCAAGGACCCACAGTGATCACAAAATGTTGGTCGTTTGTAATTATGTACGCTAAACCTATGTGGTATATTTATATTAAATCTTGTACCCGATGTCTGAAAAATAAAATAATCAACACGAGTGTCATAAAATTCTTCAAATCAAAATTGTTACCATTCATATGAAATAGTTTTCCAACTCTGTCTATTTTTGCTTGGATCAGAAGGCAAACTGTATCTATTTAATCTTATTTTACTCAACACAGTAACAAACCCTAGGTCTCAGTTAAGGTTCACAGACATATAATATAAGGTGTTTATCTCAATCATCTGATATAGTAACTAGATAATATTCTGTAAGAACTAATTTATCCTTAAAATACATTTTACAAAAGAGTGTTGTTTGCAAAAATAGTAAATTACATATCTGAACAGTATTTAATCAGCCAAGTGATGATCTATGTTTGTATATAACAGTGTTTGAGCCGAGTATAACTGGCTTTTAAGTTTGTGTATAAGTCTGTGAGCTGTGTATAACTGGCTTACAAGTTTGTGTATTATAAGACTGTGAGCTGTGTATAACTGGCTTACAAGTTTGTGTATCAGTCTGAGCTGTGTATAAATGGCTTACAAGTTTTGGTATAAGTCTGGGAGCTATGTATAACTGGCTTACAAGTTTATGTATAAGTCTGTGAGCTATGTATTACTGGCTTACAAGTTTGTGTATAAGTATGAGAGCTATGTATAACTGGCATACAAGTTTGTGTATAAGTCTGTGTGCTGTGTATGACTGGCTTACATGTTTGTGTATAAGTCTGTGAGCTATGTATTACTGGCTTACAAGTTTGTGTATAAGGCTGTTAGCTGTGTATAAATGGCTTACAAGTTTGTGTATTAGTCTGAGCTGTGTATAAATGGCATACAAGTTTGTGTATAAGTCTGTGTGCTGTGTATGACTGGCTTACATGTGTGTGTATAAGTCTGTGAGCTGTATAAATGGCTTACAAGTTTGTTTAGCAGTCTGAGCTGTGTATAAATGGCTTATAAGTTTGTGTATCAGTCTGAGCTGTGTATAAATGGCTTAGAAGTTTGTGTATCAGTCTGAGCTGTGTATAAATGGCTTATAAGTTTGTGTATCAGTCTGAGCTGTGTATAAATGGCATACAAGTTTGTGTATAAGTCTGTAAGCTATGTATAACTGGCTTACAAGCTTGTGTATAAGTCTGTGAGCTGTATAACTGGCTTACACGTTTGTGTATCAGTCTGAGCTGTGTATAAATGGCATACAAGTTTGTGTATAAGTCTGTGAGCTGTTTAACTGGCTTACAAGTTTGTATATAAGTATGTGAGCTATGTATAACTGGCTTATAAGTTTGTGTATAAGTCTGTGAGCAATGTATAACTGGCTTACAAGTTTGCGTATAAGTCTGTGAGCTGTGTATGACTGGCGTACAAGTTTGTGTATAAGTCTGTGAGCTGTTTATGACTGGCTTACATGTTTGTGTATAAGTATGTGAGCTGTATAACTGGCTTACACGTTTGTGTATCAGTCTGAGCTGTGTATAAATGGCTTAGAAGTTTGTGTATCAGTCTGAGCTGTGTATAAATGGCTTATAAGTTTGTGTATCAGTCTGAGCTGTGTATAAATGGCTTACAAGTTTGTGTATCAGTCTGAGCTGTGTATAAATGGCATACAAGTTTGTGTATAAGTCTGTGAGCTGTGTATGACTGGCTTACATGTTTGTGTATAAGTCTGTGAGCTGTATAACTGGCTTACAAGTTTGTATATAAGTCTGTGAGCTATGTATAACTGGCTTACAAGTTTGTGTATAAGTCTGTGAGCTATGTATAACTGGCTTACAAGTTTGTGTATAAGTCTGTGAGCTGTGTATAACTGGCTTACAAGTTTGTGTATAAGTCTGTGAGCTGTGTATAACTGGCTTACAAGTTTGTGTATAAGTCTGTGAGCTGTGTATGACTGGCTTACAAGTTTGTGTATAAGTCTGTGAGCTGTGTATGACTGGCTTACAAGTTTGTATATAAGTCTGTGAGCTGTGTATGACTGGCTTACATGTTTGTATATAAGTCTGTGAGCTGTGAATAAGTTGGTTACAAGTTTATGTAGACAACAACCTCCCCTGGGATGCAGTATTTGGAGAAATTATTTCCTCTGGTTCCAAGACTTCACTGATAAGCTCCCTGCAGTTAAGTCAGAAGATACAACTTACCTCCTCTGGTGCCGAGTCTTTGGATCCTGGGCACTTTGTAACGACATGTTGGTGACATCGTTTGTGAACTACACATGTACACACTGAAATAAACATAAAAAACTTCATGTCAACGAGTAAAATAATTAAATACATTTTTCAATGAACAAAAATAACCCATCAATGGCCATACAGGCAGGTAATTGTATAAATGGATTGAAGATTTTGCCTATAAGTTTATGATTACACTGGTATTGTAGCTAGCCTTTGGATTTATTTTACAATTTACATGTAAATGTGTGTTCAACTAAAACAAATAATTGTAGTATAGGGTACCTGGTAAGTGGATGTGGATTTTATATGCAATTTTTAACCTCCGATGCTGCCAATCTTCCTGTGTGTCAACAGAGACTCCCTCAAACCCACCTTTCCTATCCCTAAAATGCTGCTGAAGCTGCGGGTGAACAAAATGTTCCACGCAGTTCTGTCCTCTCCCATCATGGCCAATGAAATGTTAAGGTGGTCAAAGTACTTTGGTACACTGAATCTATAACTACCAGGTACTGGAGTAGATGTGTTTGGATGTAATTTCAATGATTGTCACCAAATATCATAATTCAGTTTTCAGCAATAAAATGTCATGAAAATTATTCTGCACGTACATGTAATTCCTTTCGAGGAAATTTAATGCAGAATTAATCCAAATAAATTTCCTATGAGGGAGATCTCCACCAATGACCCTTCTGAAGGTTGGCAGGCCTGAATCAGAATTATCATTTGTTTAGGGAAAGTATCACTCGCATCTAACGTGGATATCAAAAACAGTATACACAAGAACAGTATACAGAGTGTATACAACCGCATAAAATAATCAAACAAGTTTTTATGACATAGTCACGAGGTGTTCACACTTGTCTAAACTTTCTGACCACAGAAATTTCAATGGTACCACAGGAATTGTGTTATCTTGGTGTAGATAAACAGACATATAGAGTGTCAAAATGAAGGGATTCGCAGTAAGGAATGTCGACCAGAAAATGAAAGAAGACGTTTTTTATACAGGCAATCCTGTTTAATGACGAAACAAAATTAAGGAATGTTTAGCTACTACTTAAAAAACTTATATCCTACAAGGAAATAACTAATGTTAAATACTAGTCTAATGATGTTAGATAAACGATACCTGAATCACCCCCACAACTACCCAGGTAGATTCTTGTTTCTATTGTCTTTCTGTTGTTTCACCTATGTATACTATGTATCTTTGTATCCCTCTTCGTTCCAAAAGACTTTTTTATTTTCATTCAACCATTATACATGTTACTCTATTCATGACTCCATGTTTTACCTAGAATTGCTATAAAGTACACCAGCACATCCGATTCATAACCTATATGCTTTTCCTAGAAACATGGAAACTTATCTAGTACATCAAAATAGTCCTCATTAGCTAGCTAGACAGCCCTTTTCTCATTGCTTTACCTAGAAATGATTGTTAGAACAACAGCCCTATTTCAGACTCCATGATTTTCCTAGAAAAATTTTCTGGAACATTTTTATCCTCTTTCAGACTCCATGCTTTACCTAGAAACATTTTTCTGGAACATTTTTATCCTCTTTCAGACTCCATGCTTTACATAGAAATGTTTGTTAGTACACCAGTATATAGCCCACTTTCAGAATCCATATACTTTACCTAGGTTATGTTAGCTACTTCTTTCCTGACTTGTACACTTTACCTATAGAAGTACATATACCAAGTCTATTATAATTAAGTAGCTACAGATATATCATTAGGAGTACTTACCTTGGCACTGATACCCCTGCTTCCATAGACCCCTGGAATGAAGGAAAACCTTATTACAACACGGCATAGTTATACTACTGCCTATCATTTCACCTGATTGAACGACGATACAAAACTGGTTATAAAACTGACACACACAACTCAATTCAGGCTAGTTAACGGCTTGATATGACACAATGCAAAATGGTAAGTTATTGCCATATTTTGCACCCTTGAATAAGACAGTGAATTCATGGAAGGTGAAAAGTATGACTGTAAATCACCTCACTTTGTGAGCGATTCATTTTCCCCATTTGTACTTGAGGAGACTCAATTCTCAAATTTTAATCTTTAATTAATGACATAATATTTTCTCTATCATGAATTCAAGTATTTGTGAATAAAATCTTTCGGCATAAATAAAGTTATATACTGTATATGAATTATATATACACTAGTAATACTGATAAGAATGAGAGTTAATTCATTATTGGACTTTTTTGTTGTAAATTATGTATGTTGGGCTAAGTATCCTATTAACAGCTAAGGCCATTTAAGGACATGCCTCTGTGTAAAGTACATGTGTGTGCTGGAGGTGGTATATATATATATATATATGTGTGTGTATCTGTCTCCTTATGATAGCATGGATCTAATGCCAACTTTAGAGTTCTATCCTTGTGAAGGCCAGATGACAAAAAAAAAGAATTGTGGGCAAAAATAAAATATGGTTTAGAGCATTGCATACATGACAGCAGTTTGTACAGGAAACACATGAAGGCAGTGTCGCTGTCCCTATTAAAGGCATGTGACCTTGCATGTTGCATGGAAGTCAGCAGAGATACAAAACCAAAAATATTAATTTAAAGAAATATTATTTTTAAATTCTACCTGTGTAAAATATTTGATTTTCACCAAGATCTGTGATACTTCTTTCTGGGCAAATACCACACACAGGTCTAATGAACCCTTTCACCCCTATGTAACTTCAATAAACTCTACTATGCATTGATCATTATGGTCTACAGTGGTGAAAGGGTTCAGGCAAACTGAAATTTTCATATTAACACCTATTTAAAAGGTTTGAGAAGTTGGAATCTAAAGATTTTTTTCCCTCTCCTACATACCTACTCTTATTTTTGAAAGTGGCTCCCTTAACACCTACATGTTGATGTGGCCTTGGCTGTTGTGAGGATAGTAAACCCTTAACAAATAATCTACCAAGTTTGAGTAAAGTCACACTGTAGATAATCATATCTGACAGAAGCTTCTGCTTACAGCTAAATTATTAGCAATATTTTCATCTCTGGTCCAAATGTATTGATATTTATATTAACAAAGAATTTATAAGATTTGTATACAGGTACTTACTGTTTTTAAAATGCATCTGGGTTTTTTTTTAATACATTTAAATACATCAATTTTGTGTTGTAGTCAATCCAAACATTTTTTTTTATTTATTTAACATGAAATCTTGTGCTCCTGTACATCCTGCTATAACCACACATGTACTTGATGACCTTTGCTCAGAACCAAGGCCACCAGCTCATTGGATAACTAAAACAGCTAAATTTAACTCTGGTGTATATTGTTGATCACTTCCTATTTAAAAGTTTGACAAGTTTGTGTGTTTATGGAGGTAAATGCATGTGTGTGTGTGTCTAGGGAGGGGGTCTATAATGGAAGACTGAGGAATATGTGTATGTGGGAGGAGGGGGAGGGGGGGGGCTGGATTGTGTGTGAAGTGAGATTTTTCTGAGGAGAATAGATGTATGGAAGGATGTCTATGTGTGAAGTTGGATATGTGTGTATGGATAAGGGTAAGGGGCTGGGGGGG